CTATGAGAGCGCAGTCAATGCCACGTGCAATTCGGAAGGTTCATATCAAATTTCCGCGTAACTGCCTATAACTCAGAGGATAAAGATAAAGATTAGTAAGGCGGATCTCATATGGTAGTGAACCTTGGCCTCTTTCTAATTCTGTCGCCTGCCGCTGCATCCTTTCAAATATTTTATAATCCTGCCGCATCAACGGTCTCCAGGTTTGAATCGCGTATTCAAGATGTGGCCTGTAGTGAAAAAGTCTCAACAAACAATTAGAACGTCTTACTAAAAATACACTGAAAAACTTTCTAGTGTACAGCTAACTGCTAGTGACTAATCTACCAGACTACACTAATGGAAAAAGGGGGTAAAAACGGTATATGAGAATGGCAATGAAAATTGAGAATGATACGACTCACTTAGATCCTCCATGATCCTTGTCAGCAGTAGCCAAGAGATTGACTTGTCGAAGAAGGGTTCCGTGAAGGTCTGGGTCGCAGTTCGTCATGTTGAACTCGGGAGAGTTGAGAATAATCTCATTTGTAAGCGGCCGTTAGTTGCTCCTGAGCCCGGGAATGATCACCAGAGAATGGTGTCGTTGAAGGGCGAAGAAAACAGCGGCCGGTGAGATGAACATATCTTGAGAATTGCAGTGGTGTAAGCAGAGTGTGCGAGAAGTCAGCACGCCGTCTGAAAACGAAACTGTATTTTCGCGCGGCTTGCGTTAAAATAAAAATTAATAATTTTGCTAAATTTAAAGAACGTAAAGGTTAGGCTAAATGCCTACATAACCCCCCCACCAGAGCGTTGGTGGGTTACAAACGCTCCACAAAAGGGAATGTGCAAGAAAGGTTAAACAACATAGTCTCGCAAGTTCGTAGGAAAACGAACATGTCTACCGGAACGAGTGGAAGGTAGGGGAGGGACGGGAGGGGAGGTGATAGGGATGTGGGTAGGGTCAGTTGTCGAGGGTGGCGGTGGACTGGAGGGGGCAGGTGGAGTGCAGGGTAAAGTTGCCGTGGGAGTGGACGGGCCAGGTGGTGGCGATGGGCATTCAACATAGGCCGGCTTCAGTCTATCGATGGAGACAGTATCGGTAGCATCAGCCCTTTGAATGACGACATATTTGTCTTTCCGTTCCAGCACTTTAGTGGACCATCGTAGGGTGGGCAAAGGGGCCTGCGGACTGCGTTGTGGGGTTGTGTTCAGATCCTCGTGCGCGAAAACACGTCGAGGTGGCGAGCGCGTGGGGGTCGGGTGCAGTGCGGCAATGCATTGCTGCAACTGTTGCACGAAGGTGGTTGTGGCGTCAGGGGCGACCGAGGAAGACTGCACGAGCTCACCAGGTAAGCGGACGGATGTGCCATAAACGAGATCGGCGGCAGTGCATTGAATTTCTTCCTTAACAGCTGCGCGAATTTCGAGGAGTGCGAGTGGTATGTTGTCGCTCCAGTTGTGTGGGGCGGGATGAGACATCAGCGCGGACTTCAGCTGACGGTGAAGGCGTTCCACGAGGCCGTTTG